GCTGGAGGCCGCTTTCCTGCCTTAAAAATAGCGGAGAGGCGATCGGCTGCGCATCCTGGGGCTTCGTTCCGCGGATGTGCAGGAGGCGTGGGGCAGCCGCCCGGAGGGAGGGTCTGGGTGCTGCGGGCTGGCCTCGGGGCCACTGGCAGGGGCTCCTCCCGTCGGTGCCCCTCAGGTTCCCCTTGGCCTCCCCAGGCACCAGTGGCGCACAAGGGGCCTCCGGAGAGGAAAGCGGGCAGAGACCACCCCGTTATTTCCACCAACCCATGAAAGTCGTAAAGTCCAGTAAGAAACCTCAGACCCTAATATGAGCCTGGATATCAAGCCAGTCAAGCCTCCTGAGGGGCACAGAGAAAGGAAGGCAACCCCAGACTTGGATGAGGGCTCCTGTTTATGGCTGGCAGCTTGTGGTTTCCCTCCTTTGTCTGCAAATCAATGTGACTTCTCAGTGGGTTGGCCCTTGGAGAGGGTTCCAACCGATACAGGGTGCTGGATTTGATAGACGTCCTCGTAATAGTAAGACTATTACATAATTGTCAGGCATGGCTGTTCCCTCATTAAAAGGGAAAGCAGAGCCCAGAAGAACAGTGGGGGGAGAATGGGGCGGGAATGGTCACCCACCAAAGGGGAGTAAGGGAGAGGAATGGAAGGTCTGGGGAAAACACGGACAGGGGAAAAACAGATTTGTTCAAAATGTAGTGCTGGAAGAGAGTTTTGAGGATGCTCTGGACTGCTAGGAAGACAAATAAGTGAGACCTAAATCAAATCAGGCCTGAGCTCTCTCCAAAAAGGAAAAACTATGACAATGCACTAAGGCTATTGGGCATTGGCCATAACATGAGAAGACAAGACTCACTGGAACAGTTGCAGGCAGCAGGAAAAGAGGAAGACTGAATATGAGAGAGACTAACTTGCTAAAGGAAGCCACAGGCTTGGCTTTTAAAGAGCTGAACAGGGCTGTTGAGGTCACAGCGTTTTGGAGGCCATTCATTCCTAGGGTTGCCAGAGATTAGAAGTGAAAGGACAGCACATAGCAAGAAGCTGTAGCTTAAATCTGGGTTCCTTTGACCTGGGAGATCCTTGTTGAGCAGGATTGTCAGGCAAAAAGAGAGGGAGTCGCTTAGTTTCTCCTTCTGCAGACTGGATGGCAGACTTTGCTCAGATATTTTGCAACTTGTAACTCAGAATGAGAACGGTAAATTGAAAGGTGTGTGTTGTTCGACTCGGCCTGCATCCAGGGGCCTATTTCTCTCTGTTTATTTGCTCCTTGCTCTAGACTTCTGGAAGAGTGTAATTAGATGAGGATTTGTCCCATGGCTTAGTCCACTCTGGGAAGGGTCTGGTTCATCCATCATGAACCAGCCCGTCCGTGATTCCTGCCTTTCTGACTCTCTGTTGGGGACCCCTGTTCTCTTCTTTGGTGTGATGGGATCACTTCATTTTGGTTCGATTCCAGAATGTGTGTGATCACTGGGAATCCAACCAAAGTGGACGACTTAGGCTTTCCCTTAAGAGACTTAATGCTATTGTGGAATTGAAAGCTTCTTCCCACTCTCTGTGGAGGGGGAGAGAGAGAGAGGAAGAAAGGGTTTGTTGTTTTTTTATCCCCCCCTTCCCTTTAAAGCTAGGAGCAGCCCAATAGGGATGCTTCAGGTACCCTGGGGTTTCCTGGCCTGCACCAAATGGCCGATCCTGCCTCGAGGAGGAGAAGCCCGCTGGCCTTCATGATGGCACGGTTGCTGTCTCTGGAAGGTCCTGAGCGCCGAAGCTCACCTGGGCCGGCCTTTAAAGGCTCTTTCGGAATAGTTGTGCAACTGGAGGATACTGGAATTTCCCAGGGCCTCTTTCTTACGAGAAGATCGTTCTAGTTTTCCACAGTCAAACTTGCTCAGCAGCCCAGCCTGCGAAGGGGCTCGTGACCTCTCCTCTGCTTCCTTTTAGACGCATCTCAGGTCGCACTCAAACACAACGGCTTGGCCGTGGTCCCCTCTCGGTTTCTGCAAGACACTCCCTTAGGGCACTTTCATCTCTCAGCAAAATGATGGCCTCACCCTGGTTCATGAAAGTTCAGGTATGGTATGGCTGTGATGCCTGCCTGCCTCCAACCCACTGGGCTTCCTAGAATCATGGAGTGGCAGCCGGAGGGGACCAAGAGACTCATGGAGTCCATCCTCCTGCAGGAAATACGCAGCTCAACCCAACCTCTGTTGGAGAACCTCCAATGAAGGAGGGTCTACCACCTTCTGAGGTGGTCTGTTCCGCTGTAGAACGACTCCTGCATGCAGGACAGTCTTCCCAATGTATAGCCAACATTTTATTTCTTTTAATTTGGATCCATTGTTTCGGATCCTACCCTCTGGAGCTGGGCAAAGCAAGCTTCGTCCATGTTCCACATACGTAGCGGTCTTTCAAGTACATACAGTACGTATTTGGAGATGGCTCCTCTGATGCCGCTCTGCCTTCTCATTGTTGGTGTATCGCAGGGCTGGGCAAGCCGGTCTGGGGCGTGTCCCCTTCCGTCACCTCTTCCTGCCCTTGAACTCCAGGGACTGATTCTGTCATGCTACCTACGGGCGTGGCTTCCTTCTGACTTATACCAACCTTGTCTTTTCCGTCGACACGTATAAGATATCCAATGAAAAGCTGAATTAGACTCTGATGGAGGAAGCGTGAAAATGGGTCAAAAAGAGGTCAATCATTTCAGGTATTTAAATGACACAGTTTTGCAGGCAGAAGAGGGCAGTGACCGGAAGCAGGGATGATGGTAGAGAAGGGAAGCAGGAGAGGTGACATTGCTGCACTCTTCAGATATGAGAAGGGCCGTCCCGTAGAGAAGGCAGCAAGCTCGTTTTCTGTGCCCGCCCCCGCCAGCAGGTAGGCTTAATCGGACGTTATAGCCCCAGGGTGCTTTTGGGAGTATCAGACTTTGGCCAAGAAGAGGTACAGACGTGGTACCTTTGGATGTTTTGCGGTTGGTTCATGAACAGCTGTTGACCCCTGTTGGGCTGGTATACGAGGCTGTTTCTCCTGCTCAGGCATTCCTGCTCTGAGCTGGTTTTCTGGATGTATAGATTTTGGGACCCAGCGGGTAGTGGAATATAGTTCCACCTGGAGATGGTTTGAGCCCTGCGGCCTCCCTCCCCTCTAGGCAGGCGAGCTGGCAGACGGTTCTTCTTTCTTTGTTTATTAGAGCTGTCGACCTAATTCAACAGAATTTGTTCCCCTTATTCAAGGAAGAGCACTGGTCTTTGACAATTCTACCCCTGGGAGAGCATATAGCCACAATCTGTTTTTCTGTGTGTGGGTCGTGGTTCCTGTGGAAGGTTTGGGGGATTGATACGTGGCTCCCGTCCAGGCCTTAGGGACTGGGGAATTAGCTGAGGGGACTAACGCTGGAGCTGCTGTTCTGGGGCCATTTCCAAAAAATGGCTGGGGCTTCTCATACCTTTTACGACCTTAGTGCACACGCGGCCACAGCCGGTGCTGCAGCACCTCTCTCCTGGGCCACAAAAGTCATCACTTTCACACATGTGCACACAGATTCCAACATCAGGGGGTTTGGGACATTCCCCAAGAGTCACTGGAAAGAAAGAAAAAGTTTGTTCCACCCTCAGATCAAAGTTGAGAGGACTCTTAGGGCCAAAAGAAGGGGAACGGGCTCCTGTTCCTTCAAGGCCAGAAGCCCACTTGGAAGAGCAAGAGATACAAAGTGCAAATTTGGGCAGAGTAATATGGTCGGCAGGGTAAACCCAAACAATGTCATCAGTATACTAAACACCGTGCCAAAGCAACATAAACACAGATCTGGGTTTCAGTTGCTACTTTTTGCTGCTTGGAAGTTTCTCTGGCCAATCAAAGGTGCCTCTCTGGGTTTCTGCTAACCCTGGGACTTTTGTCCCCCAGACCCCGGGGGTGTCATTCCTGGAGCAGCTGCTGTCCAGTTTGGGAATCTGCCCTGTGGCTCGCTCTCGACCTTACGTGGTGCCATGCCCTGCCCTGCCAAGTGGGGTTGGAGCTGGGCAGAGCTGAGCCTGGACTCCCAGAGAATTCTCCCTGACACAAAATTCCATGTTGGGCAACAACGGCTTTTGCTAGATCACTAAAAAGTTAAAAAAATATTTGGGGGCACTTTTCAAGACAAAAGGGTGCAAAACTTGTGGTT